TATTTACATGTCTATATTTATATTCATATAATTTATATTGTAAATAAATATATTTAATATATAAACAACATATTTTTCTGAAATATATACATGTATGTGTGTGTATTTATATATACATAATAAATAGACACAGCACACATGCATATATTATGTAAACAAAAACCTTTATTTTGGATGCGATTAATCGCGATTAATCGTTTGACAGCACTAATATAATTCTATAATTTCAATTACAAATACATCATAACTATCAAACATATTCTTGATCACTACAAGACTATATCACCATATAAATATTATATAAATCTGCAATGCCTAATATTTCCTACTAGTTGTTTTAGTAACAGCAGTAGTCCTACTAGTTATTTTAGTTTATGCAAATATAAAACTTAAATATTTTACAGCCATTTAGCATTTCCCATCACAAGCAACAGAACTGAAGTGATAAATAACATTGAAATTCATGGCTGGAAGTGTTTGATTTGGTAAATTGCACGTAGCTTTACAATTATCCACTAAATATTAAATCACTGAACGTTCCTGTAAAACTAGGAGTAACCTCACTATAATAATTAGACAAGTGACGTCAACCAACATGCTAATGTCAGCGTGTTCGGTATGTTTTTTAATTATCGATATTAAATATAGGCTATTAATTGGCGTTAAATCTATTCTGATGTCAGATCTAGTTTAAAACAGAAATTCCTGAATGATTCAATCTCTGAATGCTCTTCAGTGAATCAACAGGTGTTCGGATGATGATGATAATAATAATAATATAAGCCACAACATGCTTTATGCAATCGACCGATTTAAAAAAAAACTCACCTTTTCGGCAGACATGTCCTTTATCTTGAAACTGTATCCGATAAAGTTGAACAAAAGCAAGCGAGGCCTCAGTGCGGTGACTCGAAGCTAGTAATGAGAAAGTGTGGAGCTTTACTCAGTGAACCTCCATCAGCAGGAAGTTGCTAAACGGATTTTCCCACTGACCCATCTGTCAAACTCACACATCGAGTGAACCTGAAGCAGAGGAAATCATACGAGAAGAGAAGATAGATGGGTCATCGACAAATGGACGTCAACTTAAAGATTTTTATGTAGGTTGAAATTACATTTTCATCACTTTTAATCACCTTTTGCCTTTACAAGTGGACATGGAAGTAGATCCACATAAAGTTTAATTAATAGTTAAAAGTAAAGTCCAACATCTTTCAACATTTTGACATGTCATTTGGGAAAATAGACACAATTAGGTCATGCCAGTGTATTTAGATTGCATTTCACAGATCATGAGTTGCTCTTGATTGAAATCACTGAAAAAAAAGGATCGTTTGAATAGATAGTTGCATGATTATGGATTTTTTTTTAATTTGTTTGTTCTTTTTAAATGTACGTTTATTTATTTATTATTGTAGTTTAATTTTATTTATATGTATTTTTACTCGTTATTTATATATTATTCATTTTATTTATATATTAATCATTTTATTTAATTGTTTATTCATTTGTTTTTATTCTTTTATTTACATTTATTTATTTATTTTAGTTCTATTTATTAACTTTTATTTTATTGTTTATTCATTTATTTTTATTCTTTTATTTACATTTATTTATTTATTTTAGTTCCATTTATTAACTTTTATTTTATGGTTTATTCATTTATTTTTACTCAGTTTCTTTCTATTTGTTTGTTTGTTTATTTAATAAATAATGTAATATTGTCATCGGGCCATCCAGATCAGCTTCTTCCTGTCCTGCATGTGATGTAGATTTACTCCTGAGCATCATGCATGATGAACATGCTAAATGTGTCAACGGACAGACCCAGTCAACATATTAATACACATTTGTCTAATTCATGTAAATACTGGGATTTCTTACAATTATACATGATCCACCTCACTGCTGAATTTATAACTCACCTGCTGCTGCCTTGATTAGTTGTCATGTTTACATTTAGTTGAATGATTCCTTGCTAAACACTCCCCTTGCTGACACATTTAACAAACATTTGATTTAGCTATAGCTGAACATAAAGATACTATAATTTCATTTTTGCATTTTCTGAAGAAAATTGTCCGGTGATCAAAGATCAGACTTGTGTCGTGTGCTTTGATAGCAGGCTACACCTCCTCAAGCTACAGCAGATTCAGGCCAAAGTATCTGTCAGTCACGAGGGTGTAAAAGCGTCTGGAACTGAAGCAGCCTGCAGAATGTGCAGCTTATCGCTGGGCTCAACGGTAGAGCTTACTCCTCTTATTGGTTTAGCTCTACTTGGCTTGTGCAAAAGCAGGTCATGAAGGCCACTGGCTGATCAGCCATTGAGAAAAGCTGGAATAGTGTGAATATATCTCTGAAAATCAAATATGTTGAAAATAATTCATAACTAGTCTAGAAGTGCCTCTTATTTTTTAAAACATTATTAAACTTTTTTTGCACACTATTAAACTTTAAACTCAACACTTTAAGACTTTACTCAAATGATAATCATAATGACAAATAAATAAATAATAATGCTTAATGGCCTGCATGCATCTGTAGACTTTTTAAATGCATATTATTTATGGTTATTTATTTTTGTGACAGACATCTGACATATATCATGACAGTTATTATCAGCGGGCAAATAACATATTACAAAATAGGTGCTATGAGGGGTTAATTAATTTAATTGCTTAATACTTCCTCTGTATAACTAAACTGATCATAGAATCCGGTTTAGGTTTTATCTTCATCACTCAAGATGAATATATTGTTAGAATGATCATATTGCACCACCTACAGGCAAGTAAAGATGGTGCAACATTCCAGTGACAATATTAATAATATAATTTTAGAAAATTCATGCCTGGAATTAATGTCAGGATTTATTTACACCTGGGTAGCTAACAAATAACATGGATATGAAGGTTTTATTATTATTATTATTATGTTAATATTTTATTCACTTCTACAGGGTTTAAATAGGATTCAACATGGAAAACATTCCCTTTTCCTGCATAAAATGTATGTATATAATATATGCATATTAGATAAATATTCTCTAATAAAAATGACAAAAACATTATTAAAACTTAAACTAAAATTAAAACTTAAAATATAAAAATAAAAACAAATTCTAATTATTAATACAGTTATAATAGTGTCTCCATGGTGACACTGATATGTATAATTTAGTTAAATATTTGATCAAATTTAAGTAAATGTTCCCTGCCTACTAGGCAGCAACAATGCTAGATATAGCTAATTAAATCTAATAATCTAATTTTATGCAAATAATAAATATTCTGTCACATATTTTGTTTTGAATTGGTGCCATTTTAAATATATATTATTAAATATAGACTAAAATGTGTAATTTATATTTTTAATATGTATCATTTATGTAAATGTTTCCTGCCCTGACACTAGGTGGCGATATAGTTAAATACAATCAATTAAATGTGGAAACTGGCTCAAGGATCATCATGTTCTATTGTGAAATGAAGCTGTTTGGGCTCCAGTGCTTCATCCGGTGGCAAGATGGCGCTGTTTCCCCCTTCTTCCCGTTCATGCCCTCAGAGGGCCAGTGAACTCAAGGAGGTTCAGAGGTGGAGCTCAAGATCTTAAAGAGACAGTGCATGTTATGATGCAACTGTATAGTATTTTCCAGATAACCAGTTTATAACAAATAAAACTGAGCACTGAAATGCTTCTCTTGAACCTCTGAGGTTAAAAAAATTACATATTCTTTTGGTTCATATTTACATAGAGACTAACAAGAACTGATAGCATATATTATAAATGTATATTTACTTGAGTTGTTTATGATCTTTACACACTGAAACTGATTTGTGAAATAATGCAGAAGCAGAAGAACAGCTACTTAAGGACGTGACCTCACTCCAGCGGCTTTATTACTCACACTCACCATCACACACAATCAGGACAACCCATGGAGATGTGGGTCAGAGGAGTGCACACGCTCCTGAGGGACACACACACGTGTGTGTGTGTGTGTGTGTCTGTGACTCAAACTAAACAAAGGCAACAGGATACTGCCTCACTGTAAAACAAATGCTAGTTCCAGCAGCAGATGAACACACAGAGGAAAATACAGTCTGAAAGTGTCCTGCTGACCTCCTTTCACAGAATATGAGTTTCCCATGATGCAATGGCCTCTGCCAGAACACTGGGTAATAGTATAGGAATTAAACTCCATTTTAAACTATAGTAGTGCTTGCCTGTGCAAATCTAGTTCCGCTTATTTAGCATGTTGCTATGTGGTGAATAAAGTGTTCTGAATGGTTGCCAGGGTGTTGATATGCAGCTTCTAAGGTCTGAGTGGTTTTTAGCATGTTGCTCAGCTGTTACTAGGATGTTCTAGGTGGTTGCCAGGGTGTTGCTATGCAGCTTCTAAGATCTGAGTTGTTTTAAGCATGCTGCTGTGCAGTTACTAGGATGTTCTGGGTGTTTGTCAGGGCATTGATGTGCAGCTTCTAAGGTCTGAGTTGTTTTTAGCACGTTGCTCTGCAGTTACTATGATGTTCTGGGTGGTTGCCAGGGTGTTGGTTTGCAGCTTCTAAGGTCTGTGTGGTTTTTAGCACATTCCTCTGCACTTACTATGATGTTTTGGGTGGTTGCCAGGGTGTTGCTAGGGTATTCTGAGCAATTGCCAGGGCTTTACTTTGTGTTTGCTGAGGTGTTCTGAGGGGATTTAATGTGTTGCTATGGGGTTACTATGGTGTTTCAGCTGGTTTCCTGGGCAGTGCAGTTACTATTAGTTAGTTGATTGTTCTGAGTTGTTACCAGGGTGTTGCTATGCAGCTTCTAAGTTCTGAATGTTTTTTAAAGATGTTACTATGTGTTAAGTGTGTTGCTTTTTTAGTTACTTGGATGTTGTAGGTGGGAGCCAGGGTGTTGCTATGCAGTTGCTAAGGTATTCTAGTGTTTCTATGCAGTTCATTTGTCAGTGCAAAATTACTAGTAGTTACTAGAAAGTTGTAATCAGGGTGTTGCTATGCAGCTGCTAAGTTCTGAATGTTTTTAACATGATACTATGAGTTACTAGGATGCTCTGGGTGGTTACCAGGGCATTGCTATGCAGTTGCTAAGGTTATCTAGTATAAGGTATTCTAGGTATTTGCTTTGTGGTTGCCAAGGTATTCTAAGTGTTTTTGCATGTTTCTAGGATGTTCTGAGTGGTGTTAAGTGTTTTGCTTTTTTAAGTTACTTGGGTGTGCTAGGTGCTTGCCAGGGCGTTGCTACACAGTTGCTAAGGAACTATAGTGTGTTACTATGCAGCTGCTAAGGTGTTCAGAGTTAGAGATTTCATTCAGATCACTAACCATAAATATGCACTTGGCAGATACTTGTATCTAAAGCGACTTAAAGCATGCCACTTCACCGTAGATGCCCCCCGATGTTCTGCTGCACCCTTCCAACGTCCCTCCACTGAAACTGCATCATAGCGCTGATCTAAGATCAGATTTCTCCATGAATATTTTGACCTTGGCAACAATAAGCTTATTGACAAAACTGATCCAATCGCATTCTCATGTGAAAGCACTAGAAAGCTTGAGGAGTTAAAATTTCCAGTGTGTATGTATTTCAAAATGATGTATTTTCAAAAAAGTTTGGTTATAGTGAAAACAGATTTTTATCTTTCTGTTGAAATGTTAATATTGTTTTTTTCTTTGCAAAACTCGCTTTTTTGCTGGGTAGTTGTTAATGTGTCTTGCTTTATTTTCTTCAGAAAATGTGACCAATGTTACAGTAATGCTTGACATAGAAAACTCTAATACTTAAGATGATGTTTCTACAGAAAGAACTGATCAGAAATAATGTAATGAAGCTAATAAGATGAAAAGTGCATTTTTAATCTAATTTAATAACAATAGTTTATACATTAAATAAATACGTATCCTCACCATTTGCGTGTTCACAAAATTATTAATCAACTTTTAACATGCTGTATCCTTGTTAGTGTCTGATCTTTTAACATGTTTCATCCTGCAACCTTTGTCTATACTTTTGCTAGGCCCCTGTTGTGCAATGTGATAACTATGCCAAATTGTCACTAGCTGGTCAATAAACAGTTAACTCAAACTTTTGCAGTTTTGTCAGGGACTGATTACCAGGAACGACTCTTAAAGATCATGTGATAATGCCCTCAGGAAACTCCGACATCGCACCGAAAGAAAACTGGAAACATGACCTGTAATGCAAGATTGTCAAAGTGGATATTAGACCTCATTCAGGTGCCATTTCTTATGCTCATGCTGATGAATTATGCATAAATGGTACATGTACATGTAGTGTCTTAAACTGAAGTCTACTTCAAGAGTTGCACTGCAACATGATCTACTTGAAAACTGGATGTGCTACTAATAAGAACAGTACCTAAAATCATTCAGTTAATTCAGCAGAGGTGTTTTAGAACTTTTCTGGGTGATCAGACTTAATTTAACAGAGATAAGACTTGAAATAGTAAGAAACCACCCAGTATCCTAGAACACTCTAGCAACCACAGAGCAATGCCTAGAACACCCTAGCAACTAACTACCTAGCAAACCCCATCAACCATCTAGCAACCCCCAGAACAACCTAGCAACCACCAAGCAATGCCTAGAACACCCTAGCAACAACACAGGAACCCCTAGAAGATCCTAGCAACCCCCAGAACACCTTCACAACCACCAAGTAACCACTAGGACACTCTAGCAACCCCAGATAAATGCCTAGAACACCCTAGCAACCATCTAGCAATCGCAATACACCCTATCAACCACCCAGCAACCCCTAAAACAACACAGAACCCCCTAGAACACCCTAGCAACCCAGAGCACCCTAATAATCACCCAGCAACCCCTAGAACGCCCTAGCAACTACCCAGCAACCCCCTCCCCCCCAAAAAAACTAGCAACCCCTAGAACATCCTAGCAACTACCTAGCAACCCCCAGAACACCACAGCAGCAACACAGTAAATGCAAATCACCCTAGCAACCATCTAGCAACCCCATACCATCCTTTCAACCACACAACCCCCAAAGCAACCCAGAAACCACCTAAAACCCCCTAGCAACCACATAGCAAACCCCAGAACACAATGACAACTACCCAGCAACCTCCAAAACAACCTAGCAACCCCCAGAATACCCTAACATTCACCTAGCAATGCCCAGAATGTAATCTATCTATCTGTAAGTCC